AGGTGCAGCACTTTGTACCTGGCCTTGATGTGGGACAGACGGAGGTGGAGAAATATGTCTCGGGCACTGTGAGGCTCTCAGGGGTGCTCAGGGCCTGGTTTGGTCCCCGGGCTCCTTGGGGCAGCTGCTGGCAGGGCTTGTCCTCTTTCACCAGCTGTGGACCAGCCTTCGCCCAGCACTGCCTGTCCTGGAGCCCCCCAAGCCCTGCAGCAGAGCCAAATCCTGCCCCGGGGCTGGATCCTGAACACAATCCTTGCACTTTCCTTGTGTAGTTGTGTGAGCTGCTAACACAGCACCCTGACCCCTGGGGTATGAGCGGCATTTCAGATCCCGGGAGCATCCAACATTGATGGTAATACATCAAAAAATGTAATAACACGGGTGGTTGAGCAAACCCAAGTGCCTCCATCACAACTGGGCTCCTTTTGATTTTTTTGGTGTCCGTAACTACATTAGAAGGTCTGTGCAATTTGTGCTTTCCAGCCTTGGGGCCAGATATCCTTATTGGAGCAGCTCTAAGGGTCATAGTTGAGGCTTTGAATAAGATCCCATCTTTTGCTGCTCCCTTTGAACAACACAAGCTGGAAAACACGGAGAGCCCCATTTCTGGCACAGCCCCACAGATCTGGGCAGCTGGAGCAAGATTTAGGCGAATGCACCACCCTGATGTTAAGAAATCCCTGTTTACTATTGGAACTGACTAATGAGGTTGGCTAAAGCTCCTGGGCAGTGGCATGAAGTGTTGGCTTTCACCTCTCCCAGATTTGCACTCTGAAATCTTGCCCTGGGTGCTGGGATGGGTTGAGCTCAGGGTTGGAAGGCAGATTTCAGCCACCCCTGTGGTCCCCACTGATGCCTCTGAGGTTTGTCTCCAGATCTCCTTTACATCCAGGAGGGTTCTGGTGGCTCAGAGAGCCAAGACAAGCAAGGAGAGGGGTGCTGGTGGTAGGAGCCTTGGGGCCTCCGATGTCCCCAACACAGCCACCTGCCCCTATGCTCTCTCTGAGTGATGATAACCAAGAGTGGCCAGAGCCATCCAAGGTTTTTCCCTGAGGCATCCACGAGAGGGTGGAGGCAGGAGGCAGGAGGGATGGACTGGCTGCATCCTGGGTGGGGGATCTCATCCTCTGTGGTGACAGCCTCACGCATGGGGCTCGCCAGAATTGGGGTATTTTCCCCTGTCTTCGCAACAACATGGTTTTGGCAGGCTGCTTATGGCAGGAGGGAAGTGGCCTTGTCACCTGAAATTCTGTTTCTGGGTGAATCGTCCTGTTCACAACAGGTTACTTTTTCTTTTCATTCCCTGAGGAAAGCAACTCTGTTCCAAAGGTGTGTTGTCATTTGCTGCTGACCTTTAGACTGCAGTGGCCTTCAGTAGTAAACAAGGAGAAGCTCTCCAGTCCCTCAGAAAGTGGGAAAGCCTGTGCAGTTCTATACATTTGTTAAGCAGGTGAAGAGAAGTGCATGGGAGACAGGAACTCTGGTGAAAACCTGGATGGAAAAAGGGTTTTATTCTGGGTTGAAGGTGTTTTGTGGGTCTGGTCCACCCGCTGTGTGCTCAAAACATCCTGAAGCCACAGTGATTCCCTGAAGCCACAACACACGATTCAGCACAGGGACCTCTTTCACTCTGCTTTGGGTAAGGTGCTCTCAACCTACAAGGGTGACAGACGCATTTGTACTCTGGGTTTAGAGACCTTGCATGCATTCAGGCTGGGGAAAATCTAAAAAAACCGCTGATCCCCCATATTCCCCACCTTGTCGCTTTTGAGCAGCGTTGAGTTTAGATACAAATACTAAAAATAAATTGAAAATAAAATTAAAAAAAAAAAAAACACTCAAAGCGCACAAAGGAGAGGAGCGAGCGGACGATCAGACAGCGGAGAGGCGTTATGTGTGCAGATGCGCTGCTACTAGAGAGGCGCGGTAGGAGCGGGGCGGCTTCTCGGGTGTTTACGGCGGAGCAGGCAGAGCTGCAGCGCCGGGAGCGCTGCCCGCCCGCTGC